CCCCCATCATCTGATTGGAGAAATGAACGGAGAACCATGATTGGAGAAATGAACGGAGAACCATGATTGGAGAAAATGAACGGAGAACCATGATTGCCAATGTCTATTTTTTTCTGGATAATATAGGATTTTTTATAGCATCTGAGTGGAGAAACAAAATGAGAAGCATGATTGCTGATGTCTATTTCAGATTTGGCTCTTTTAAAATGATGGTTTTTTTACACCTCCACAGATACAATCTAGACCATGTGTGCTATAACACAGTGGAAACAGGCGCTCGCCGAATTTTGACCAATGGAATTGTTGTTGTAACTTTAAAGCTGGTTCAATGAAATTGAAAAAAAAAATTTTTTGTGCTTCTGATTATCTCTTTTCAGTAAAATCCACTTTAAAATGTGTTAAATGGACATTAAAAAAAACCCAAAAACAATAAGAATAGCCCAATTGATGGGAAAAAAGATCATTTTCATCTGTTCCATTATTTTAACGGGTGTCTGATTTCCCCTGGATGCCACACATTTAATTCTCTTCTGTTGCACTCTTTCCCTTTTTGCAGTTGTGTGCTCTTGCCCAGATCATCACCATCAAGTGCCCGACTGCCATGGTGTGGAACGCTCTTGGAGAGGGAAAGAGCAATATCTATCTCACAGGTTCACCGCTAGACATGTTCCCGTGTGCTACCAGTAACCTACCCATGCCTCCGGGGTCCAACAATAGTTATGTGAGTATACATTTATACAAACGTATTCATGTACACATTCGTATGCACGCATGCCCACTCACAATCACATACACACATGCTCGCACACGCACACAAGTACACACACACAAACACCCAAGTACACTGACACACACAAACACCCAAGTACACTGACACACACAAACACCCAAGTACACTGACACACACACACACGCAAGCGTGGGCCCGCACACACACACACACACACACTGAAAGAGATCTTCACCAGACATGTTACGTTGTGCTACTAGAAACCTACCTATACTTTCAGGGTCAAATAATAGCCATCTGAGTCTCTCTCTCTCTTTGTCTCTCTTTCTCTTTGTCTCTCTTTGTCTCTCTCTCTCTCTCTCTTTGTCTCTCTCTCTCTCTCTCTCTCTCTCTCTCTCTCTCTCTCTCTCCAGTTTTTTTTGGTAAGTTTAGTAAAGGAGAAAAAAGAAGAGAGGAACTTTTGGATATTAACAATGACTTCATAGTTCACTTTAAGAAATGTACTGTTGAACTTGTTTTAAAGGCCACCTGTTAAAAGACGATCAGGTGTACGAATGGCCACTCCCTATTTCCCCCCTTGCACGTGTTTTTAAAAAAATACTATTTTGACATTTATGACTCCCTTCTAGTCAATGGGTGACGGTCTTTGACAATTTTGTTGACAATAGGAAAATTTAGAAGTTTGAGAGTATAGTTGACCGTAAATTATTTTCTCTGTGCAGATACGTAGTCAGCTAAAAATAGCGGAGCAGCAGATTATCGCGCGTGGTCACGCGGCTGAGGTTCACTGGTCGTCGGACAAGTGTCAGCAGTCGGCTGTTGGTGAGTTAACCCTTTGTTGTCCTGTTTTGTAGCTGGTTTGTGTTCACGCTAAAGTGGGTGGGAGTTAACCCTTTGCTGTCCTGTTTTGTCGCTGGTTTGTGTTCACGCTAAAGTGGGTGGGTGGCAGATGCTTTTGTGTGGTTTTGCTCCTTCTTTCCTTTCAAACATCTATCGTCCATATCTCTCCTTTTTTTTGTGTTTGTTACTCTATTGTGACACCTCTAATCTTCAGCACTTATGTGGCGTTATTGTGTTGCAAGTGCTGTAAAACTCGTACAAATTTTTTTTTTTATAAAGTAAGTGGTTGGGGGATGCTCTAGTATGGTTTGCTCCTTTTTCCCTGTCAAGCATCTATCGTCTTCAGCTCTCCATCTTTTTTGTGTTTGTTACTCTCTAGTAACACCTCTAATCTTCAGCACTTTTATGATCTAATTGTGGTGCAAGTGCTGTGAAACTCGTACTAATGCAAAAAAATGGTTGGTTGGTGGGTGCTCAGGTGTGGTTTGTTCCTTCTTTCCCATCATCCAACCTCTACTGTCCTTATCTCTCCTTTTCTTTTTACATCACTCTTGAGTAGTAACACCTCAAATCTCTGGCACTTGTACAACCTAATTGTGTTGCAATCACCGTAAAACATCTTTACTAAAATCAAACCCCCCCCCTCCAGGTTATGTGATGAGCAAAGTGCTGGAGGTGCTGGACATCCTTGACCAGCACAACTTTGACATAGTGGACGGGACCTACAACATGGACTCTCTCTACGGGAAAATCTTCAGCCTCACTCAGCGGAAGGAAACAGGCGATGTGAGTTTTTTGTTGTTGTTTTTTTTATATTGTTGGGTTTTGTTTTTTTTTGCTTGTTTGTTTTTTGTTTTGTTTTTAATTTTGTTTTTAATTTGTTAAGAAAGCAGGTAAGAATTCCGTCAGAATGTGCACTTTTAGTGTTGTAAATCTTGTTTCTTCTATGACTTCTGTAATTGGAGATGAATAGATAATGATATGAATAATAATAGTGATACTTTTAGCTCCCTCCCTCCCTCTTCCTCCTCTCTCTCCCTCTCTCTCTCTCCTTCTCTTTCTCATATTTTTATCCTTCTTTCTCTCTCCCTGTTTTTCTATACGTGTCCGTAAATTAAATATATTTCACGTTCCTCCCTCCAGCCTCCGATCGGGGACGAGCCAATCATTAACCTGTTGGTGGACTGGGCTGTGAGCACACAGAGGGTCGGGGACCACCGCTGCATCGTGGTGGCGCTGCTGCTTGAGAGACGACAGTCGGAAATCAGGAGCGAGGTTTGTTAGCTTTGTACTGTCTTAATTTTGTCACGACGCGGTGGAATCAGGCGCTCATCACTTTTTGGGTATATTGAGTTATTGGTATCATTTTAAAGCTTGTTTATTTGTGCTGCTTTCGATGAAAAAATTACCCATCTATCTTCAATAGAAGGAAGTGGAGATATTTTGGATTGAAGGAGGTGGGGATCACCTGGTTTCAGAGGTTGAATTAGCAAGAAAATGGCCGCCAAAGTTTGGTGCCTTCCAAAGCTGGAAAGTCCATGGAAACTGCAAATTTACTTTTTTAGTGCCTTTAATTGATGCTTTTCTGTAAAATCCACACCGGAATAAGTTTTGAAATGGACCTAGAAGGCGTTGAGCAAAAAAACAAAAAATTGATTTAGAATTGCCAAGCGGGAAGAAAAATACCGTTTTGTTCTATTTCATTATTTTGACGAGCGCCTGGTTTCACCACAATGCCTCACAATTTTTTTTCTGTATTTCGCCGAAGGTAATTTTGAAACGGGTTCGGATTTTCTAGACAAAACGTACATTTGCACACGAAACATTTATACACAGGTGGTATCATTGTAAAGGTTGTGAAATGTAGAATCCATTTATGGTATTCTTCTATGTAGCAGAGATACAGAGATACTCAATAAAACTTTTCTCCTCACTCGTGCTATCGAACTCGGACCTCCTGTGTGTGACAGCGAAAGGCCTAACCTCTACACCACAGGCGGCGGTCGACCTTATTTGACTGACTTGTTTGGCACCATTTCAGAAATACGGCGAAGTGGAAAGCTCCGACGAGAAGGAAGTGATCACAGACACGGGCACGCCCCCAGTGTTCCAGTCTCTCTTGATGAGCTTCCTGGACACCAGAGCGCCTGTGCTGGGTAAGTCAGGGAAATTCTGGGGGGGGGTGGGGGTGTCCCTGTGTTGCTTTCTCTGTCTCACTTTCTCTTGGTCTCTCTCTTTGACTCTCTCTCTCT